ATGCTTCATCGAAGCGGAGTGCGACTCCCCGGCCTTTGACAGTGAGAAAACGCGATCCGGCGCCATCCGGCGATTGGAAGAAGCACGCTCGGCGGATGGATGATGTTGATAAAAACATTAGCCCTGCATGAGTAGCATTGAAGGCACTTCAATTGATCTACTTTCAGGGATCCCTTTCTCAAAGGTCAGCAGGAAAGCTTGTCCCCAAGGCTTGCTTAGACTTTTCTTTGTGTTAAAGTATGAGCAACGCTCAACAATAAGGCCGCTTTGGGTTTCTGGTGGGTTTGGCGCACCAGTCATGGACATTTGGGAGGCTTGGCACACTCGGGTTCAGGACTTCGTTTCAAACGAACGGTTGAAGAGAAGGCTACGTCTCCAAAGCTGCTTCATGGCGGAGCTACGCTTGGTGGGAAGAGATTCGGTTCTGGGTGCGCAGATTGAACCACCGCACCAGTTTGAACCAAACCGGTGAAAGAAGTAAATCTACCCTGCAAATCCAGCTATTTCTCATGGTTTCAAGAAGTTGGCCTTCACATGAGTTACATTGAAATCTTTGTACCGGTGATATCAGTGGCCTCCCTCGAGTTTGGATTCCAAATCATTGTCCTGAAGAGTTGGGCTTCACTTGCGGTGACCTGAGTGCCCTCTTCAGGGCCCTGACATGGCGGCCAGGCGTGCCGCGCGAGCCATGGGATTCCTGAACTCTGTGTTCAAGGAGGCCAGGGAACGGCCTGCTGTGGACAAGTGGCCACGCGTGGGGCGTCAGCTTTCTTGCAAAAGGATCGATGGCATTGGAAGAATTTGGATGTCGTTGAAGAGAAATGGCAATAGTTTTCTGATGCCATTGATCTTCCATTTCATGTTTTGGAGAATAGTCCTTTCCCTTGTGGCACCTAGCCCAGCAGAGATACAGCGATCAGAAATGTTGGAGAGGTTCATTGCAATTCAAAGGACCAGAAAGTCATAGGTGGGTCTCTCATCATGTTCTAGGGAGAGAAGTCTAATATAATCATGTGCATCCTTGTCTGCGAGGCATTCGATAGGATCCAGTTGGATTTGCTTTTCTCTTCCGTAAGAAAGAGAAAAACCAAAGATGGATCAACAGGTGCTTAAAGTACATAAAGGGACCACCACAGGAATTGTTTCGAAATTCCAAGTACCGGTACCGGTTTCTCTTGCGGATCGATCATGTCGCCATTTCCCCGGAGTCCATCAGGGACAGAAATGAAGACATCTCTTCCCACCCCAAACGCGACCGTCTAGCAAGACGTCTACGCGGCGCGAACGCGGCAGGAGTTCAGACGACTTCCAACAAGTTTCATTTGATGTCGGCCATTGTGAACTCCGGCGTCGATGCGCCTCGCTGCAGATATTCGGCACCTGGAGGGCCGGTAGACTGAAGCGATGAATTTGGGTGCACTTCTTGGAAGGCCACAGAAAGCACAGGTAAAGCAGAGACTAGACCAGGAACTGCTAGTAACTACTCATTCAATCCAGCATGCCTCCAGATTTGGAGACAAATCCAAGTTCTGATAGTATTTGTCAATATCTCTCAGGCCTCCAAACTGAGCTGAGGTGCCAGAATGAATCCTACCACGCGCCCTTTCCTTCCCCACCCCAGCCCATTGCCTACCACATGCTCCGGGCGCCTTGCCGTGGCAGAAAGCGGCAGCGGGTCTTTTGAGGTGCTCTACCTGGACTTCGACTTGGTCTTCTTCAAGGATCCCCTGCCGCCCATCTTGACGGCCGCCAAGAAGGCGTGGACAGGTGAAAAGGGGAAACAAAGGAAGATCTCCGAAGCGAGGGAGCGAAAAGACAAACCATGCCAAAGATGTGGTGCCAAAGCTCAAGCAGCAACAGCTTCAAGCACAGTGTGACTCACAGCGGAGGAGGAGCTTTTTCCCGAATGCGTAGCGAAGGGTTCTCGTTTAAGTTGGGAGTCTGAGGGTAGAGCTGTGTTTGCCCGACGTTGTTTTCGAGTTCGCAACCGTCCGCAACCGTTTGCAACCGTCCGTATGATGTCTCTATGGCCGTGCCATTGGGGGAAGCTTTTGGAGTAGGTTTCGGATGGAAATGTGACACTCAGATTCGTGTGAAATAGCGAGGAATCGTGTGGAAATGTAAGATGTTGAAGTGTGGAGGATGATTTCACTGCGCAGGTGCAGCATTTTGTGAGATCCGCAGTTTGCTGCACAGCTGCATTGGGATTAGCGTTTGGAGAGTCGTGTTTTTTGGGGTGTTGGATGTGGCCGTGCCATTGGGATTTGCGTTTCAGGGTGTGGCATCGAAGTTCTGTTTTCGTGACAAGTCTCAGCTGAAATGGCGATTTTGGTGGATGGGAGTGTGCTCAGAACGGGTCGAAATCATTCCAAGCGTGTGGTGTGGTGCAAATTTTGGTGAAGCTCACATGAGATGACATTGTCACTGTTCGTGGCAGGCGCAGTACTTTGTGCGGGCTTTGAGGTATGGAAGCGCGATTTTCGTGGCAGGCACAGGGAATCGTGAGGTTGCGAGGTGTGACAGAGGTGACATTTCGTGGCAGGCACAGTACTTTGCGCGCGTTAGACGTGTGGACGCGGAAAGATTTGTGGCAGGCGCAGGGAGTCGTGAGGTTGTGGGTTGTGGTAGAGGTGAATGTCGCTGTCACATTGGGATTGGCGTGTGAGCGGGTGTTGTTTGGAGGGGCTGGAATCGCGAACTCCTTGGCAGGGCTGCGTGATGTGTGTGCTCCGCTTTTGGAGGAAGTCTCGTACGAAGCGCTCGTTTTGCAGACTTTGACGTGTGAGTTTTTGAGGAAGTCTCGTACGAAACGCTCGTTTTGGAGACTTGACGTGTAACTTTTGGAGGAAGTCTCGTACGAAACGCTCATTTTGGAGACTTGACGTGTGACTTTTTTGGAGGAAGTCTCGTACGAAACGCTCGTTTTGGAGACTTGACGCGTGACTTTTGGAGCAAGTCTCGAACGAAACGCTCGTCTTGCAGCCTCGAAGCGCGACTTTTGGAGGAAGTCTCGTACGAAACGCTCGCGTGACTGCTTCTATAGTGTGTGGGCAGACCGTGTGGCGACACGACGTTCGTGATGTTGCAGTGCCATTGGGATAGAGTGTGTTTGCGTGGCGCCGTGCCACTGGCGAGCGCGAAACAGGCTGGCGTAAACGCGGCGTGTCACTGGTGAGCGGGGTGATATGTGGTATCATGTGATATGTTTAATTCTAGTGTCTGGGCAGACCGTGTGGCGACAGGACGTTCCTGATGGTGCAGTGCCATTGCGATTTGCGCGGCCTTGGTGGAAAGTGCGTTTGCGTGGCGCCGTGCCACTGGGGAGCGCAAAACATGCTGGCGTAAA